TCCATCCGAATACAGGTCACCGCACGAGGAGTATTCGAATGTCGCTGTTACCGTAATTACAGGATTCTTTAGAGGTCGGACCAAGTCATTTGAATTCAGAGTCAGTTTAATTCAATGCAACGAATTTCGCTGTAATTTAGAGACGACGGATATATACTATGAAAAAGTTTCTTAACATTTTTCAGTTTGAATGCTTCCGTCACTGCATTGATAACTGCTCACAGAGACTCAAATATGTACAGGACGAGGAGAGTCATCTTCAATTTTATAATATTTAAATGATAGTGAAATTTGCTTACATTCGATTTCATTTCCAAATCTTCCTTAAGTGCTTGCAAGTTGTGAAGCGAGGTAATCGAAAGGGCTGAATAGAAAAGCAGGGCGAGATCAGCACGTCTTATGGCCATTTCTCGTCCACCAGTGCGAGCCTAAAAACGGTTCCGGCTGAAGAAAACCGTTCACATCTACTTGGTTCATTCGAAGTCTCACGCCTAGCCCTTCCTGAGTGGAAAGTGTCTTGACAATAGACACGTAAATGGTGACTAATTTTGGTTAATAAATAGGTTAGCTGACTTACGAGACCAGGATCGGTGAACTCCAACAGCTCTTCTTTGCCGTCACAGTCAACAGTAAGGTAGTGAACATCTTGATAGTGAACATGGCGCTCGTACTTACTCGCAGCTTGGCAGAGTTTTTCGAACTGAAATATGTCCCATCAAAAAAACAATATTTTTCAACATTTTGGGGGAGCAAACTCATCAGTAAGCTTTTTCGAACAAAATTATCATATATTCGGACGCTCCTCAATTACTGGTTACTGATCAATGACAAAAGCTTACGGAGGTTCATACATGACGGCGATCCGGAATGGGTTGACCAGTTTAGAAGTGAGACCTAGCTGTGGGAAGCTCAGTTCAGACCAGGGTCAACCGTCCGTTGGACAAAGTCCAACGCGACGACGAGAGGGTAATGCGAGCGCGGCGGAGTGAACGTCAACGCACGGCAGACCACAGACGGCCTCGCGCAGGGAGAGGAGCCGGGCGGTCAACATCGGTCCATAACGTCGCCTCCAATATCGGGTCAATGGTAACGGTATGTACCTTGGTTAGACGAAGGAAACCAACAGGGCTCGAGACCGGCTTGTGCAAATGCCCGTCCATGGATGCTTCTTTCCTCCAGCGCGTTTATCCCGCTTGGTGGCGGGGTCCGCTTTTCATGAATATTGACGCCGTTCTAAACATTTGCGCGACACGACTGTGGTGTCGAGTGTCAAATGATAACGATCCCTCGATGATGATCGTTGTCCATAGATATTTCATAAAATGGGACATCGGCTGACAGCAGAACACTGAGCGCGACATGTAAAGGTGAACCATCGACACCTCAAAATGGTTAAAAGGGACTTAGTTGAGAGTCGCGAGTATCGACCGCAGCACATCCCAAATATGATCTTGATTCGCTGCTGAAGCTGTTTAATAGTATGGCTAAAGGTAGATTGTAAGATGATTGGAATTTGGCTACAACACTCTGTGCAACGAGCATGCTTGCCCTTACTTGTGTCAGTGTTAAACCCATCTATTGCCTAAAAAGAATGACCCTTGCCCGACTCTTAGCATCGTTAAGTCTTTTTTTCAAGGCAAAATCTCCATAGAAGTGAAAAGGCAGCGCAAGGGTCCTGCCTGTTTGATGTACAACTAGGAGGATCTCTCTAAGTATCGTTGAGGGGCGCAGAAGGGGAAATACGTATACCTAGTCAAAACCAGGCGGATCCTTGAAAGTGCGGGACGATGAGCGTCTCAGCGAAGAATATGCCCTAGCGGCCGAGCAGGGCCACACCTGCCCACTCTCTCGCCGTCTGACCCTAGCCGCTTGGGCGGGGAGATAGGCGCTATCGTTGAAGAGGGAGAACTGATGAGAGAGTCGCATCAAATGCGCGAAATCAATTAGCGTGATGGAACGGGCTCCAAAACTTTTTGGGTTCTGCGCCGCCGTTCTAATGGTTATTTCTTCATCGCTGCCCCACTGTCAATCTCTACTCCAATTTTTTGGCTGCCTTTTCATCGTAAACTCTACCTTTAATGGAAACTTTTTTCGTACCCAACTAACTTCGATAAATGAGTGATGCTTTTCATCCACCACGTGAGTGGCAGTCTCATGAAAGTCCTATACTAATTGTAACTTCCGACCAGAAATTTTCTAGAGCAGAACAAAATAGAAAAGGAGCCCCTGGACTTTCTTCCTAACCTGAATTTTTTTCTGTGAAGAGCTGTACGTCTATCAAGGAAATTGTGCAAGACTCGGAAGTGCTACATCACTGTTTTAGCAAATTGGGTTTACTGTTTAGTTACAGCTATTTCATGGAATGTCATTTCCTTCAGGAAATTATGTCCCAGAACTTATTCGGAAGTTCGTTTCTTATTAGTCTATTGTCGATGTAATGGAAAATATGTAAATACAGTTGAGCTAAACTGATACACGTTTCTTGCACGCTTCACATATTACACGGAAAAGAGGCCTAGGTTTTCTGAGGAAGGCCATCGAAACCCAAGGCTAAAATAAAGCTTCTTAACCCTTTCAACCCTGTGCTCTGAGTAAGTGCAGCAATCACGGAGAGCACACGTATACATCTAAGTATAACATTTAGTAGACTGGTAAAATATACATGTTATTTGCACGAATATTCTCCTCTATTCCTTTCCAATGGTTTTTTTCTCAAAGTAATCGTCTTAGAAGTGGTCATTGAAAGGCACACGTGATTAGTTTTTCACCTACTTATTGACACGTAAATTGGGAAGTCAAGGAAGAAGCATTCCATTCCATGTTTAGTCACGCGCTTATGAAATTTCATAGCCAGCAGGGTCAGCCGTCACGTTGGACAAATTTCAAAATTTTTATGCCCCCCTTCTGGAGGGCCTCGATACGCCCCCCCCCCAGGGTCAACCCTACCGTTGGTACTTTTGGAAATTTTTCACGACCCCCTCCACCACCATGAGACTCAGGAGGTCCACCAATAACGACCACCACCCTTACCATCAGAGCTGTTACTATAGTAGTATTTGCTTCGCGTTACACTACGACCCCCTTGTATGGTTGACGCTGCCTTCGACCTTGCGAATACGACCCCCCCCCTTTTCGTCGGCCGAATACGACCCCCCTCGTTGGACTTTGTCCAACGGATGGTTGACCCTGGTAGTCAGTACGATTCACCCTAAAAATGCACTGCATGCCCATCCCATTTAAAACTATGCCGTTTTATCCATGAATGGCTCACGAGCAAAAGTGGTACAAAGGGTTACAGTCAAAGAAGGGTAAGCAATTCCAAAATCCTCCCAAAATCGTATACCTTACCCATGGTTCCACAAAATCCCCGGGCATTTCAAATTTTCGAAAGAGATTCTCAATCATTCTGAAAAATCCCTCATTTCTGATTGAGTCCGCTTCACACAATTTTTGGGATTATATTGCTGATTCCATCAGATTGTCCCATTCCTACGGCAAATACAACCATAACCTCTCCCTCCTCCGCTGAGGAAAAAATTGAACCAACGCCACTTTCCCGCTGAGGAAGCGACGTCGGTTCAATTTGTTTCCTTCTGGATAAATATTAATAATAAGTAAAATTCAAGACCGAATTTTACAGCAGAATTATGTGGCGCATCAGAAATTAGAAGTCTTCTGTTAATAAATCCGCTCACCAAAATGCTTTTCTGTGGCGATCCGAGCATGACAACGTACAGCTCATTCCCGACGCCTTCATCTGAAGACATTGTTGAACCTGAATGACTGTGAATTTATTCAGAGGAAATTCCATGAGAAGAAAAGGTATCGACGGTTGCAAACTTCATTAGTGTGAGCGGACGTAACCCACTTAATGTTTATTCCTAAAACTGTGAGTTGTAATTGTTGTTTATTACACAAGTACAAGCCCCTGTTAAAAAAGCGAGAGGACAGAAAAATCGAAAAACAGAACAAGGATGAGGTGAAGAAAGCGAACAACATTGATTAACTCCTACATATGGCAAAATTTCTCGTCAAGCTCAAGTGTAAGGTGAGATCTTAGTAAACTTTTCCGAGGAAACTTAATTTGCCATCTTCATCTGTCACTCAGCTCTGCTCAACAACCCTCTCTGTAAGTGCTGAATCGGCATGAAATGCTTCTATGTAGTTGTATAAAAGTGAACGTTGGTGATCAAAAGTAAAGCGTCCGGACGAACGCGTGATTTTTGAGACTGTGTGATCGGGTCTGAGGCGAAAATATGACGAAAACTGTTGCGCATGCATGAATGCCTTTGTCACGTATTTACACAACACGAAATTCAAAGAGTTACGATCGCGATCAGTAAAAGGCGTCCCTTGTAGGACATCATTCAGTATGTGCAAAAGTATAGGTATTGAGTCTGAAAAGGATACCAACCCGAACAAAGTTACGTAGTATGTACTAGTTTGGACTTAAAGGCACTGTACACGAAACCTGCTTCTTCTTTCAGAGCCGACCATTTGTTTTTCAACCAAAAAACGATGGGAGCAGTATCTGCAGCAGTATTGGCGGAAATTTTCAAGCGTGGAATACCTGTAGCTTGATGAAATGGTTCATTGTCAGTTGTGTCACGTTACAGCACCAATGAAGTTTCAATGCCGCCCCTTCGTTTTTGGCCGGTCCTGGGAACGCTCAGAAAAAACCTATCGGTATCCCCTGCGTGAAAGAGAGAATCGATCCGTTCCACTTGCCTTCAAAAAGCAAGGCCAATTCCTAATGGGAATTTCGAAGTTATACATACTTAGACAGGGTGAATATCGGTCGAGGAAATCCTCGACAGGGGGGTCGTACCTGTTGGGCTGGTCCATGGGGGGTCGTACTCTTGGGGGTCAGTAACAGAAGTGGTATCATGGTGCAGATAGGTAATAGGGTATAGCGCAGCAGAAAATGAAAACATCCGAAAAAAAACATGATATTAAATTTTCTTTGCAGGTTCAGTCGCTCCATTCCTCCACCTTCATGAGAAGGGCGTATTTGAAGGCAGTACAAAGAATGAAAAGTGCATCCCCGCAAAGAAGACTGCCACATGTGCGCACGCGCTGCAAAGGCACCTCCTCTGCCTATCACTCGCTCCTTCTCCCTTAATACCTCGCTGAGAATGACGCTGTTGTTAGGGACCCTGTCGGAAAAACGACAACCGTGAAGAAAAAGCGCTGGGCAAATGAAGTTGTTTTTTAGGTTACAGGAATAGCACAACACACTATGTCTACTACAATACAGTTTCGTTCGAAGGTCCCCATCATATAACACCTTTCAATCGATTCTGCAACTGTGAGTGGAGGAGGGATGCATGGCTTATACCAATACCAAATCGGATGATGACGATTGCTCCTATTCTTATTGTTTGCGTTCAAAGATATTGTTCTAGACACATTCCGAGTGTTGCCAACGAGTCACACTTGCAATGGTGAATGAGGGAGCGGATTTCCAGGTGGCCGGATCCGACCTCGATAGATCCTCGACGCAATTATCTCTTCAACCAAAAAGCTGTAGAAGAAAACTAAACAGACCATCAGGAAGCGCAAACCTTCCGCTTTCCAAAACTATCTTCCCTTTTTCAGGATCTTACAATATAAGAGATATATTGCTCTTGAAGTGGCAAAAACTCGCGTGAAAATTTCGGCCTCCTCGACATTTACTCGACGAAATTTGAGAGACCCTATCTTTCTGCAAGGAAAGGCTTCCAGAGCAATTTCGATGCTTGTTGGAAACGCGAAATCCAGCTCTATCTAACTCTACCTCAAGCTGCTTCAAAGGTTGTGAAATGGAGGAATGCAACCTTTTCATCGAGGGTGTAGATTCGGACGTTTTTTTTTTTGAAATTTCGGCAAATCTGACCCAGTGACAATCGCGCCGCAGCTGCCGTTGAATCGGCCTTTGATACACTCGGCTGTTTTGATATACTCAAGCAAGAATCAAGATTGAATCGCAACCCCGTGTCTTCAGGATTTCTGTGCGTTTCTGAACGAACCTCGCCTTGAGGTCACACAAAGTTAATGCCTCTTTCCTCGAGTCGATATTTCAGTATGTACACAAAAGTATGCAGCGATGGAAGACGTGCATAGATGACAAGATGAAGCGTCCTTAGCATTATTTTGCAGAATTTTTTTTGATTTGTTTTGCAGGATTTATTTTAATTGAATTAATTTGCTCTGTTAGAGGGGGTCGTGCCAGGATCTCGATTTCGGGGGGGGGGGTACCTCTGCGACCACGTACTCGACACGATTTTCACCCTGCTTCAAGGATGAGGGCATGTAGTGGACTACGACACAGAAGGTTAAACGAACAGTTGCAAATTTTGGAAATTGTACTTTCCATGTACAACGCTCCGCGGATTACACAGAGTAACGATCATCATGATTCAG